CAACCAGTACTAAGCATTGGGTGTTAAGTTTCTCCCTGATGGGGATTGAACCAAGAGATCCTGAGATTTCTAGTTAACCACAAGCCATCCCTCAATACGATACTAATTAATATATGATATTTTATTTCAAAATATTCACATGAAAATCGATTATTAAAATAAATGATCTAATTTGTTATGTACTTATGAAATGGTGTGTTTTTTTATTGATTTTCGTTATCCAATGTTAAATTTTGTTATAAATCAATGTAGCTCAGGGTTTCTTTTGATTTGTCCATTAACAGCGATTCAAATCGATTTCATTTTATCTTCAATGAGAATTATAAATTGATATCGATTTATGACAAGAAGAGAACTTTGTCTTTGGAATGAAACGAAAAACAGAATGACTACAAAATCATTTTTTTTCATAACACAAAAAAATATTCAGGCTTTAGTTTGGAAACTTAACTGATGATGCATTTTGGATATTTGGATACATTTATATAAAATGCAGGAACTTTAAGGTACACATAACTTTTATCATTTAGAATTTCACACAAAGTATTAATTAAAATCAACCTTTTCATTAGCAGGGACCGATTCATCATTTTTTAAATATATTCTTTAAATATAATGTAAATTTCAAATAAAGTAAGGAAATATATGTTTAAAATCTGTATAAAGTTAATTAAAAATGAATTAAATAAAGTAAACAATTCTCTTACATACGTTATTCAATTCATTTTTAATTAACATTATTCAAATTTTAAACATTTCTTTCCTTACTTTGTACAAGTAATGATTAAAGCATGAATGTGACCATTTTTGAAGTATTTGAAATATTCTAAGAACAATTAATATTTGTATACATAATCTTTTATCGGGTGCAATTTAAAATGGTCAGCAGTGTTAAATAGTCGATAAAACCGGTCAAATCGATATTATTTCGATTCTAATCAGACAAAATAAGGAAAAGCACTAACGCAATTTTTTAAGTGGAAATTCCTATCGCTAGTTCTATTTTGCACAATGTTGTCTTTGTCCTCTAGGAATATTGTTAATTCTAAATGGATAAATTTTGTGAAAGAAACACTTAGTATTCTTGGCATGTCAGAATATTTTCATTTACAGAAGGTAGATAATATTAATCACTTTAAAAATGTTGTGAAGCTTAGACTACAAGATCAATTTTTACAAGATTGGCATAGTACTATTGATACATCCTCTAAGTGTTTAGTGTATCGTACATATAAAAATACTCATTGTTTTGAAAAATATCTAGATGTACTTCCTTTTGACATAGGCAAATATTTATGTAAATTTAGAACAATGAATCACCTATTACCAATCGAAAAAGGCAGACACTTGGCAATTGATCATAATAATAGGGTCTGTTCGTTATGTCCGTATCAAGCTATTGGTGATGAATTTCACTACTTATTTGAATGTTCGTACTTTAATGACATAAGACGTAAATCTCTTCTTCCCAGGTTTTACACTCATCCCAATATTTTTAAACTTGACACATTAATGAATAGTTGTGATAAAAATATTCTTCTAAAATTATCTTTATTTTGTAAAAACATTATGTTAAAATTTAGATAAGTAATACTTCTCATTCTCCGTTCTCATTTGTTACAATATAAAATACATGTTGTATTGAATCCAGAACTTGAAATGAACAATATGATCTCCTTTTTGTTTATTAAGCTAGTCATATTTGTATTTTTATATTGTGATATTAGTGATTTTTGACTGTTATTTTTCTGTTTGTTTGTTGTTATAACCGGTTGCATATTATATGCCTTGGTTTAATAAAAACTGAAACTGAAACTGAATGTATTTAAGTTCGGTTGTTTTGGAAGCTCTACTCCTATTGAAACACTCTCTAACCGACCAGTACCATGCAATGAGTGTAAAGTGTTTTGCTCGAGTAAACAACGACATTCCGACGACAGGACTTGAACCCACGCTGTTAGAGATCCTGAGATTATCAGTCTGACGAGTTGTAATTCTGAGTTGCCTAATTTTGTGTGTGTCTTTTACTTTTACATTTCGAAATATTTCACATGTAAATTTATTATTAAATAAAAAGTTATATACTTATGAAAGAGTAGTTTTTTGTATTGGATTTATTTATCTTATTTGTCCTTTACCATTTCATTGAAATCTAGCCAAAATCGATAATTTCACCTGTTTAAAGTAAAAAATATTTATCATCCCATATTCAAAAGAATTACATTATATACAGCAAATAGAATCTATCCATATACGACAGGAAGAAAAGTTGTCTTTGAAGCGAAAACCTGAAAGTGACTGAAACGTTTTATTTCATAGTTTAAAAATGTACTGATGTATTTTGGATATTTGTATTGAATGTAATGTATGTGAAATGTAGGAACTTTAAGGTACATATAACTTTAATCGCATAATGTATATTATAAAACCAGTCTTTTCATTAGCAGTTACTTAATAATAGTTTAAAACGTTTATTCTATGAATGTAATGAAACTTTAAAATACTTTAGATTTTTGTTATATATATATTTTTATTTTGAGAATTTTTTAACCTTATTCATTTTAATTTTAATTAACTTTATTTAAATTTTAAACATTTTTTTCATTTACTTAGCACATGTAATGATTAAAACATGAATGTGACCATTTTTATAGTTTTTGAAATACTATATGAACAATAAATTTTTGTATACATAGTCCTTTATGAGGTGCAATTTAAAATGGTCAGCGGATCATTATATTCAAGCTTAACAAAAATTTAAGAAATAATACCGGTCGTTTTGATGCAAAATCACTTAGGCGACTTGTGGTCAATTCCTAAGCATCAAAACTCCAACCGATGATAAGCAAAATTGGTTGCCCTTTTTAGTCGATATAAGTAAGGAACATTTAAAAGTGTCGGTCAGATCAAAGAGAATGTTTATAAAAAAAAAACTTATTTATGACAGAGCATAATTTTAAAGATAAATTTGAAACCCATAAAATCGCGAAGGAAAAACTGAATACATATTAAACTGACATTAATGAAAGAAAGAAATAAAGAAAGAAGAAATCTACATAAAAATGTCACTAAAATTTATGCTAGTTAATGGTACTTCAAACCATTTCAAGTTTTCTTGTTCTTATTAATCAATCTTAAATTCTCTCTATATATAAACTATACGTGTTAGACATAAAATGTCTGGGTAAACATAAAAAACACGAAAATTCGGGTATTTTTTCATTGTGACTTGTTTACTTGGCCTAAGATAAGGCGAAATTTATTGGACTAATATGTTTTCTTTACTTCAATTATTGTGTGTTTGTGTCTCCAGTTGTTTTTATTAGCCTATTAAAGCCTACATGCAATAACTTCGAAAACTCTTGAAAAGTATATAACAGTTCCTTTAAATCAATACTATTCAAGATAAGACGAAATTTTATTGATCTACATGTTTGCTTTCTTTAGATTTATGCGTGTTTGTATCTTCATGTGATTTACTAGCTTTTTATAAAAGCCCACCTGCAATAAAAGCTTCACAAACTCTTGAAATTCACTTGATGAAAAATAAATTACAGTTCCTATAATAGACGACTATTCTAGAAATTTTATATATTTTTTTCAAATGTGAGAGGACATAATGATTTTTCCATATCCGATGTATGAAGGCTAAGGTCCCTCTTACAAGTATGTAAAATACCTAAATTAAGTAGATATTTTGCATGCATGTGTGTGTGAAAAATCATTTTTGGGACACTTGAAAATAATTCAACCTTTCTTTGCCAACTTTGCATGAATGTTTTAGACACGGTTAAAAAGCGTTTTAAAGAAATAAACCTTTCATGATACACACGTATTGATCACTTCACAGAATACAATGTTCTGCTGTCTTATAAATGTATCACATTAACAAGGGCCGTGATGATATGTGTCACCTCACGACAGCCAATTGCATGTTGCAGCTACTGTGTAGCAGGAGACATAAATATTATTAACAGGACAAACACGTTTTTTATTCAAGGGCCATAATTCAACTTAAAATTCTTCAACCAAAAACAAACTGTGAAATAAGCGCCAGTAGTAGAGATACCGATCAATCCAAAAAGGTTTTATTGAAATTACATTAGTAGTATAAAAGGAGCAGTTCAGACAAAATTGAAATTAAAATCTTGAAAGGGCCATAACTCTCACCTGCACAAAATTCATTAAATCGAAAAATATTGTTGAGATGAACAACTAAATAAAGTATTGATCATTCCTGTAAAGGTTTGCTGAAATTGCATCTGAAGTTTCTGAGGAGTAGTCCAAACAAGTAGCTGGCAGCACACAAAAAACACCTTTTTATTGAAGGCCCATAACTCGGTCAAAAATCATTCAATCGGAAAGCCTGTATTATATGCGCAAGTACTTAAAATAAAAATCAATCCTGTTTTGTTTTAATGAAGTTATGTAAGTGGTATAAGAGGAGTAGTCCGGACAAACTTTATTATCACCTTTTTATGCAAGGACCATACCTCGGACAAAAATCATTCAAGCGAAAACCCATGTAATGCGCGCTTGAACTTGAGGTACCAATCAATCCTGTAAAGTTTCACTGAAATTATTAGTGGTATAAGAGGAGTAGGGCTATAACTCTGACAAATCATGAACCTCCCCCCCCCCCCCAAAAAAAAAAAACGCCAAAAATATGCACAACTAGACATAGTACAGATCATTTCTCTAAAGTTTGGATGATATGCACCAGTAGTTTCTGAGAAGAAGTCGAGACAAAAGTCTGAATTGCTGGCAACACACAAAAAACACCTTTTTTATTCAAGGGCCATAGCTCGTCCAAAATCATTTAACCTGAAAACCCGTGTAATATGCACAAGTACTAGACCTACAGATCAATCCTGTTAAGTTTTATTGAATTGCATTAGTGGTAACTGAAGAGTAGGCCTGACAAACTTTAAAAATAAAAATCATTAAAGGGGCATTACTCTACAAAAAAAATCATTGAACCGGGAAATGCCGGCGATATGCACAACTTGCTTTTGTACTGATTATTCCTGTAAAGTTTGAATGAAATTGCGTCGTTTTTGTCGAGTAGTCCGGACAGTTTTCCTGACGGACTGACGTTCTCACAGGACAGTAATTATGTGGCTACTCTATTGTTCTCTCTATTGTTCTTTTTAGCCACGCAAAAGAAAATAGCCACATAAAAGCATTACGGAATGAATGACATCAAAGAGAAAGAACAGTTACCTATTGTCCCTCTAGCCACATAATTACTCTCCTGTGAGTGCGGGCAGACAGATGTCCGTGCAAACATCCAATGGTAGTCCGTGCATAATCTGACTTTAAAAAGGAGGAAATCACATAAATCGACTGGTTAATGTGGTTAGTCTACTTGTTTACTGGGGAAAGTGCAACATAAATATCCAAGAACTAGCACATAAACCCCAAATAACGGACGACGCAGAAGTGATTCCTATATGTCGCCACTACTCTGTCGAGGCGACACAAAAGTGATTTGGAAAATAAAAACCGCTTTAATTTTACTATAAAACGAATTAAAAATCAAGTTCTTATAAATGTGTACATGTATACACACAAGGGCCTTGAACATGATTACTGGTAATGAATTTTATAATTCATAACCTTATTTGAAAATGTCATGTTTTAATAAATTTGATCAGCAATGCGAAAATCACATTAGAAATTGTCACGAAGACAATGAGAATTGTATAGATTTTAACTCGCAATGCTGAAGATGTTTTGGATGTATGAGACTATTGTACACATATATCTTTTACAAAATAATATACTTGACATTTTTTATTCCAGTTGTGGCATATACATAGTTCCCAAACAGGAAGCACTAATCAAATTACAATTTGAATGGAATTTAAGATTTACACCGTTCCATTCTCTACTTATCCAAGGGTAAAGTATGCATCCAAACACTTGGACCCGCTTCTTCGTCGTTACGATGAGATCTATCTACCCTCGAACCAGACCTCGTACAGAGATTATACCAACAAACAGGAGTTCAAGCTATGTCTACAAACCTTGGGCGATGATCAAGATATTGATATCAGAAGTGTAACAAAACAAAATGATATACCTGATCGCATTACAGAAAAATGCGCTAATGTTAAAGAGCTTGTTCGAAAAGGATGTCTTCAAAACTCTTTTGTTATCATTGTTGCTTCTGATATCAATGAAGACGACATACCTACAAACAACAACGTTGGGACTATCTGCCTGGTGACTGACACGAATGACAGCCATGCGGATTGGTATCAAGGAACGCTTTGTGTTTCCAAAGGAAAACTTTACGAAAGTGTCAGCGCAATGATTGAATTGATTTTATACAAAGCATCAGGAATGAAAAGCAAATGTCAATATCTGCTGCAAGATTTGAATACAATTTTTGAAAAACAACAGACAGGTATCTTTCGTAAAAATATGATTCTACATGTTTGATTAATTAATGTCCTCCTTTGAAAATATTAAGTGGTTTAAAAGAAATATTTAATGAATGAAAAGAAATATACTAAAAACTAAACATACTAAAATTCATTTATTATTCACATTTACGATATTTTTATATACAAAATCATCTCCGAATATTTTTTTGTCTTTTTTGTGTGTAAATATATGATTATTTACATCACTTTAAGAAACATAAATTTATAGGGGTTTTGTGTCTGTGTGTGTGTGTGTGCGCGCGCGTGTGCGTGCGTGCGTGTACGTGTGTTTTTCGTTGTTGTTTTTAGATTAAAATCGGTTAGAAACAGGTTATGAGATATGTGATAATTAAACATTAAATATTATCTTACATATATATTTTAGAGTCATTGCCACAACGATCGAAGTCAGTAGAAGACATAATATCAGGAGGTATGTTGGAGGTTATATATTTATATATTAATCAGCAGTTTGCAAGAAAATCATCCAGCACCTTACTTATATGTCTTCACTTATGGTTTACATTTTTCAAATATGCGTCCGTATGCTTTCATTCTTTTTTTATTTCATAGCCTTTTCACTTGAAAAAGTTTGCTGCATAACATGGTTGTATTACATAATTATAATTTTCGTGCGGAAGATATTCTATTGTGTTTAAGTATTACTTATTTTGTGAGATGAAACAAAATAAAAAAGAATATAAGAAAAACGTTTTACTATAACATTTTACAACTGACTTATTTCAGCAGAAGAATACGTGCCCAAGCGAACTAGCTCAGCTAAAGAGAGGAATATATTTGGTATGCCTTTATTTACAAATCATACGCTGTATATGAATACATTCGAATCATATGTAAAAGAATACTCTGAAGAAGTTACTAATAATTGCAACATGGCAAAAACCATAACGTCCGTTAACAATGTCAGTTCGAAATGAGCTTATTTAAGAGACAACCTTTCGACAAACCCCTTGAATTGCTATTAAATCTTAGACTTGTTTGTTTGAACTTGTATATAATTCAGCTATGACAATTCTAGGAAAGGTTGTATTTGTTCTAGAATACAAGTGTTATTTTTGGCGATTGAATATACAAAAATAATTATCAAAGAAATAGAAGATATTAATCTAAGATATAAGTTTTTATGGCTATTTTGATTTATAACGTTCAGCCAAACATTATATTATAAATTGCATAGCAAGAATAACTAATTAACAGTTAATGTTACATTTGGCTTGCTATTTTCATTAAGTTTAAGACACGCATGCATATATGTATATGCATTTACTCATTGAAATCTATTAAATCTATTTTAAATACCATCTAGAATAAATGGATAAGGAAACATTTATATGGAACAAATCTGGATACATACTCAAACATGAACAGGGACAAAATTGCACAGAACAAATATTTTGTAATTAACTCCTGGTAAGAGTTGTAAACCATCTAAATGTCAAACAAACACACATATATACGATATACGTATAACTTAAAACCCATCTGGCACAGCGAATTAAAAGGACTATCTGACATTACACATGTATCAACTGCATGCCTAGATAGTGAATAAGCAATATAACATAGAAACATAGTATTTTTTATCATTCCGAAAGTCAGAAGAAGCACACAAACGTTATATAACACATGTGCAGAGTAAAAACCAATATTGGCATAAGGTATTCTATATAATACCTATCTTTAAAGACAAGACAGCGAAAAGAGCGCCTCTCTGATGAAATGCTTGGCATGTTTAGCCGAAGTTTAATCCCAGATATTGAAAGACCACTTTTAGACAAATTACAGACAAACATAATAGAGTATTACATTTTAGCATTAAACTTCGGAAGTCGAAAGTGTCATACAAATAAATAAATATAAATATAAAAAACACATTTGGCGACAAATTAAAAGCTAATTTAGCATCACAAAGCGCATTTGGCATAAAACATTTTTGACTGCGTGCCAAAATGGCGTATTGGCAATACTAACATTAATGTATATATTTAGTAACTCCTGAAGACTAATATATACATAACTCCGGAAGTCGGAAGTGTCATACTTGGTATATAATATACATACTTACAAATGCCCATTTTGGCATAAACATGTATTTTTGACTGCGCGCCCATGTGGCATATTGGCAAAAATATATTTTTGATTCCATGCTCGTATATTTTAAAGACACAAGGAGGGTCATACCAATATAACAAATATATTCATTCCTTTTACATAATCGAAGATAACACTCTTTTTTTCTGTTAACATCTGAAACCACGTGGTAGAACTACTTTCACTCCGTATTGTTTCCGATGTTATAATGAATAACAGCCGAGGATGTTCCGATTGCTGGTATGGTTATGCAATCGCAACTACTCGGCCCTTTCCGTCAGTCTTCGGATATTATAGATACTAGCCGAGGCAGATCTGAGTGTATGGTTATCACTTAATGACAAACCAGGGTTGTTTCCCTCGTAATTAATTGCATTTATGAAATACAAGATTTCGTATAATGCTTATTATATAAAAGTCCGATAATTTCCAAACAACCGGTATACAAGTTCCTTCATGAGAAAAATTCAAGTAAAACTTAAAGATTATTTCATGGTAAACGCATCGTATGGGATACTATTTTCAAATTGAAATATGCCCAAGACAAATATGTGTGAATTTTGGCATTTTTTATCGGTCTTGATAAAAATCGTTCAGTGAAGTTTTTTATATTTTGGACTTTTATATTATATATGATACCTATCTTTAGAGACAATTCAGCTAAAAGAGCGCCTCTCTGAAGAAATGCTTGGCATGTTTAGCCGAAGTTTAATCCCAGATGATGAAAGACCACTTGTTACAGACAAACGCATTACTAAACAGGTAGTTTCATAATATGTACCTTTAAACAATGTCTTAGTATTAAGTAATTTTAACAATACCCTTAAAAATATTACATTCCAAAAACGATAATATGTCTGGTATTGACTAATGCAGGTCAAACTGAGCCTGACAGTTTTGTTTTTGTCATGCTCTACTGCTCCAAAAGAGCGTCTTTTTTTCAAAATACTGTTTATAATACCATAAAAGGTATTGTTAAGAAAGTATAAATTGTATATAATTGATAAACGAATCTGTCTCTTAAATGTCTTAAATGCAAAACGATATTTTTAATAGTGAATAAATATGTTTTTATCCATAAATAGGGATTAGAAGTTTTAATCTTGACACAATTACATTCGATTCATAAAAACTAAATTTATCAATTTTCAGTTGAAGGAAGATCTTAAAAACAAAAGTTCATCAATAAGAAGTTGCGGATACCGCGGTTGCACTTTAATCATTTTTGTTGATGTAGATTGCGATCCGCAGAATCTAAAATTTTCGCTGAAACACCTGCTGAAGAAACACAAAATCGCATCATTTTCTGTAGAGCCGTTGAATATCAAAGAATTTTGTAAGGTTGGATCAGAAACTGAGGCAGTTTTTGATGATGACGAAACCAGAAAGTGTGGAACATTAGGTGGATTTGGTTATGCTAAATCATGCAGTGGCAATGAAAGTAAAACGATCGGGTTAGTGTCTCGACATGTCGTTACCATTGGTGACAGTCCTGCAACCTGTGCATTTATCCATTCTGAAGGGAAAAAAACAGGAGCATCTGTTGATATTGATAAATCATTTGGTGATAATCACGAAAATGTCTTAGATATTGCAGCAATTTCCTTCAAGGAGGACAAATCGAAATTCGACACAACATATAAAACATCAGATGACAAAAGTGCGAAAGGCGTTTTAACTACGTACACCACGGAACAAATGAAGGGGCTTCCTGTTCAAATATGTGGAGCGTGCACACCATTAGGACGTGGAACTGTAACAATGCCAAAGATTGAAGGTGTAAGAGATAGATGTATGGATGAAAATTTTATTTTTGTCGAAGATGACATCACTGAAGGAAAGGAAAATGAGGTTTTCTGTAAAGAACGTGATAGTGGCGCAATAGTTTGTACAGACGATCAAGATAATCCAGATAAGGTACAGTTAATTTCAATGGTAATTGGGGAGAGCATAAAAAAGAAAGGCTCATATGCAACACTAAAACTAAAAGAAGGAATCAACCAAGTTGAAGAAGAAACCAATTCTACCATTAAACTTTTGTAACTAATCATCAGCATCATAACTTATATTAATAGAAAACATATAGAGGATATTGAATGAATGTACGTTTAATACTAAATTTATTGAACGATTTTTATTCAACGACTTCAATAGATTTAGTATTGAATCTTCACGAATATAATATTCTATTTAACACATATATAAAATAAAAACGGCAAAATGTTAAAAAGAGCCATTTTTTATTTAACAAAATATGATTTTTTTTCAAAACGGCTTATATTAAGTTTTTTGATATATAAGATCAGAACATGTGCTGGGATTGACAAATATACATTTTATTTGGATTTTAAAGAAGTGTGTATATTATTATAGACGTTGAAATATGATTTTTTTTCAAAACGGCTTATTTTAAGTTTTTTTTATATATATATGATCAGTTTATGTGCTGGGATTGACAATTATACATTTTATTTGGATTTTAAAAGCGTTTTCATGTCCCCATCCCAAGTGTGTGTGGATTGTTTGATTACAGAAATATTAGATAATGATGCTTATTTCTTGTTTTAGAATTTTGATATAGAAAATATGAGAGAATGGTGTTTATTGTTTGATTTTTTTACGAAACTTGTTCATTTTTATGTTTTTTGGTAAAATTTGATTATTAAGAATCATGAATGTAATGGAATATAGCGACCACGGTCCTTGATTGTAAAATTTAACACAATCAATACTTCATTCCTTGGTATTTAAAAAATCCTTTGTTCAGAAATGATGGTGGACTTCACGGGAACCTGCTGGTACATATTTCACCTGCATTTTACGTTCCCATTTTAATTACAGCTTTCCTAATTCGAACATTTCATAATCTCCATGAGTACATTACTTTCGAACTAGTACAAATAAAATGCATCAGATTTTATGCCTTTAAGATTCGTTTTATGATATTGAACACAAAAATATTAACTTAAAGGTATTTGGTTTTTACCTGTTTAGATGTTTTATTCTTATTTTTATGTTGTTGTTTTTATTTTGTTAATTTCTTATTCTTTATGCGTTGTTCTTGTCGATATTTTACTTGTTGTTGATAAGTTTTTTGGCTCCAATTATTATTGTCCAGAATGATATTTCTATAATTTTTTTTACAAAAACTTTATTTTTGTGATTCCATCATTTTGTTATTCAAGTATGTAATGTTCGATTTTTTATTTTGTTTATATATATTTTACACATTTTGAAATTGGTTTAGATCTTACATACCACCTGAATTTGTTCAAATTCAAATTTCTTTATTCACTTCAGACATGAACAAACTATGACATTATAAGGTGAAATGATACATGTATAGAGAGATTCGATGCATCAGTAATAGAGTATTTTAGACATAATATTGCATAACACCGAATAGCCAATTTACATTTTATCGTTGTCTTCATTTACGAAGACTTTATATGTGTATATTATAATTTGATACTTGGTATATTAACAACTTATACCAGTAACACCAAAACTTGTGAAAACAAATATCACCTCGATGAGTAGGTTATCAATGGTCCTAGAGCGAACGACCCCCTTCCTCTAATCGTGTGTTCGAAAGCTTTTACATGATTGTATGAACGAAGAATCAGTTACCACCCACGGCAAAGACCATGGTTTCTCTGAATAATTTCAGTGGAAAAATAGATTATATGAGAGACAACTTGTCGATAAACTCCGTGAATCGCTATTGTATATTTCAAACTAGTTTGGTTGTACTTGACTAACTATATTAAATTGCTTTCTTGTTTTATTCTGGAACACACTTCTTTTGCTGATGTATATATAAACATAATATGTAATAGGTCATCGATATTTAATAGTTGTCTTCATTAATAAAGACTTCAGACTTTCACGTGTACATTAAAAGTTGCTCAAGATAACAGTGCAAACAAATATTTTTTAGTCTAACGTTAAAATTTATCATTTTAGGTTATTTGTTATTTTTTTAATATATACAATTCTAATGTAAATAATATTGCATATTAATTAAGAGGTGGAATAATATTAATTATATCCCTTTTACGGGGAAGCGAGTTTTAATCTGCTAAAACTGTGATACCTACATTGAATACCTCACGCTCATGTTTCGTACTTGCCTGTGTTTTTTATGAAATATTTGGTATATAAAAACCCCGTACAGGATAAAACTTTAAACAAGTACATCAAAACTTGTGAAAACTTAAAGCATTTCTTTGGGGTTTTTTTAACAGGACAGTATTTTTTTTTTATCTCAAATCAATACATAGACATATGAGAGTACGAAATAAATGCGAAATATAAAATGGTTTGTGATGTGTGCAGCGATATTTTTAGTCAATTAAAATGTTCTATTTTGTTTTATTTGTTGATAATCAATGTTCATATAGTGATTAACGATCTCAATATTTTATTCATCATTTTTTTATTTATAAAGCTATTGATTACATGTATATATGTATGTCATCAGTATGAACAACAACGTTATATTCACATTTTCATTATTAAAGTCGTATGTAAAACAAACAAACGAAAGTAAATTGTAACGACAAATTGATAAATCAACATATAATCGATTTGTATTATTTTAATTTTTGAAAGGATTTAGTTAAATAACAAATCAAGAAAAGTACAGAGTTGGGGTTTACTTCCATTTGCAAATTCAAACATTTGCATCGTTTATGGACCATTATGTAGACAATTACACAACTTTTCTCCAAGCATTAGACCAGACCTCTCACAATGCGCACAACAGACTGGAATACTGTTGATGCTTCCAGCATATGTTTTGTTTGCTCCCTTTAAACATGGTTCACATTGCGGTCCTTTTCAGCAGTCACCTTTTATTTCTAAAATTAAAAAAAAGATTAAATACATTATAACATAAATGGACACGTCAATAGAGACATTTTTTAAGAACCAAACATGTACAAAATGTATCTATATTTAAATTATTTTCTGCAACGTTGTTATTTCTTTTGAATTTCATGATGTTATATACAATTATTGACTTTAAGAGATTGTAGATGAAATGTTACTTATTATACCTTCTGGGTAATTGAACGTACAAAAAGGTCTTCCGTCACTTTTTCTATTTCCAGCATTGCAATACTTCTAGCAATATGGACAACATACTTTGACATCTCTAGATCCAACCTTGACAACCTTAAAATCACCTACAGGACATCTGTCACAATAGCTGCCAATCTTACAGTTTGCTAAAGAGATAAAAATATGTTGTTGTTATATACTTCATACTAATTTATGTTATAGAGAATAGTGTGTAAAGTTGTTTCATTAATCAAAGAATATTGTACTATACTTGATTTGAATAATCAGCAATAAAAATACTATATTTGTTCTGTATCATCAACAATATTATTCACTATTTGTTTTTTATCAGCAATGTCATTCGCTTTTTTAATCAGCATTTATTTTGTTTTCTATTTGTTTTGTATCGGCAGTATCTTTCTCTATTTGATTTGTATCAGAAATCTCATTATGTTTATTATATCAGATACATCATTCTTTATTTGTTTTTATTAGCTATCATTCTATAGTTGCTTTTATCAGAAATATCACTATCTATTTGTTGTATCGGCCATGTCATTGTCAATTTTTCATTTAAATTTTGTTCTGTATCACCAACATCATCCTCCTTTTCTGGTATCAGCAACTTTATATTTGTTTTGTATAATCAGCAATATCATTCTCTATAAGTTTTTGTCATAGTCTCCTATAAAAAATCATTTTTGATATATTCTTTCTATATGTTTTGTGATTAATGAATTTTGATTATACAAAGTTAAGATTACAAAATCAGGCGCAATACTTACAAATATGGTAATTTTTATATGTACCGCAAAATCAGTCATTATTGCACATAACATGTAAATCATTAGATATACTTGAATCTTGAATCATTTTACTTTTCCGAAAATCTTAGAACATTTTTCTCGAGCTTGATTTTCTTGAAATAGTTTGACACATCTGGAGGCCTGAAGGTTTAAATTCAATAAACTCCGAACTTTGTCTATGCATGAAAATGACAATAATGGTACATAAATAATTTATTTGTTGATATTCATATTTCTATCTTTATTAAAAATATATTGTACACACATTGTCTTCTTTTGTTTATTTTGACCGCAGAAACATCGCGATGGACATTGTAAAGTTTTGTAAAGCTACTCAAATTGTCAATCTTTTGTTTAAGGTTAAATTGTGAAATCTTGAAATATTTTGGCTCATTATGATATTCAATATGAAATAAATTATTGACAAATACAGTATACAAATGATTATTCGGTATTGATGTCACAATATGTTTAAAGTCACAATGTCAAATGGTATTCACGTGACTAACACGTGACTTTTAAGAAGCCGACAGGATGCAGGCCTGCACCTGTCTATTTTTATATTTATTTTTTTCCACATTAAGTGTACAAATACTTTTTGCTTGATTTGAGGAATAATCAATAATCAATAGAAAATAAGTCATTCGACGAAACAATGGAAAACAACAATTAGTAACATTGCATCATAGTTTAACTGGCAGCCATTTTCTTAATAAAAGAGAAAAAATAAATTACTGCTAAATTAAAGCAACTCAAACCTTTAAATATTACGAAAACATAATATTCCTTAACAGTGTTAAACATACATTCATATTTGTATAAGTTTTAAACGTAAACTTCATTATGGTAATGAACTCAAACAAAGATTTAAGAGAAAACAACTGTTTTTAAAGGGAGAAAACTGGTATAGATATGAGTTTATGACATACCAGGGTTGTCTCTTTTGTAATTAACTGCTTAAATGAAATACCAAATTTCGTATAATGCCTATTATATAACAATCCAATTATTTCCAATTACTCGAATTTCAGCAAAGTTTAATGATTATTTTATTGTTAAGGCATTGTTGAGAATACAATTCTTTCAAATTAAGATATGTAAAAGACAAATATGGAAGAATTGTGGCAATTATGCATCAGTTTTGATAAAAATCGTTCTGTGAAGTTAGAAACATTACATACAAACACATTACTACACACGCAGTTTAAAAGCATAGTATAAAGTGTGATTCTTAACAATATCCGTAAAAACACAATACATTCCAAATTTAGAAATTAGTGAGGAAACAAAAAGTCGTATTATTTTCCGTAGAGCCTTTAAACATCCAAGAATTAAGTAAGGTTGGGTCGACAGCTAAAGCAATTGTTGATGATGACGAAACCAGACATTAGGTGGATTCGGTTATGCTCAGTCACACATTTGCAATGAAAGTAAAACCATTGTGTTAGTGTCTCGACATGTTGTCTCCATTGATAAAAGTTCTGCAACCAGAGCAGACATCCATTGTGAAGGAAAAACAACAAAAACATTTGTTGATATTAATAACTCATTTACTTGACTGTACTCTTTTATTACTCTTTTATTCTAATATTTGGTAAATGAAAAAAAAAACTTACAAGATAAAATCATAAACAAGTACATCAAAACTTGTGAAAACATAAAGATTTTCTATTGGTTATTTTTGAAAGAATAGTACTTCATTACCTCGCAGCAATAAATACACATATACGATTACGGAATAAATGCAACATTTCAAATACATGACATGTGTGATATGCAAACAGTTTAATAAAACGGTATTTTTCAGTCATTTAAATGTTCAGTTCTATTAGTTTATTCAATGTTCATATAGCAATCAATGATCTCAATATTTTGTTTATCAATTTTGTTATTTGAAAAGTTATGTAATGGAAAAAGCATCGACACACGAGGCTACCTGATTTGTACGAGGGGGAGTGGCCCCCGAGTTTAAATCAGATTGCCGAGTGTTTGGATGTTCTTTCTCTTTTGTATCATAGTCAAAGATAAAAGCACGTTCCTTGATGTCACAATATGAAACCCCGGGAAAAGTAACCAATGAACAAGCATCAGAATATAATATTTCTGTCGCTTTCCTTTTCTCTGCCGTCACACTATTTAAACCCCAGCAAAAATGAGCCAATCAATGGGCATGCTATTGAGTGCGGGTAACTAATACTTGCACTCCAGTTAACGCACTGTGCATGTATATGTATACAATTTAACTCTGATACATTTTCAACAGAAATTAAGGTCCGTAAAATATGATACAATAGTTATATGTATATAGGAATGTTATCATTTTTATCAACAACGGAATATACAACGGAATATACATATGATTTCTTCAAATAAAATAATATGTTAAAAGGAAATTGTTGCACGTTTAGTTCACACACTTTTTTACGCGGTGACCATTAACAGTTTTATTTTATGAAATGACACGAACGTGTAAGCTTGAAGTCTGCATGATAACCACCTAATGAACATATCTGCTTTTATTATAATACATGTAATCATTTAGTAACTCTTTTCAAGCCATTATTATTTGTACAGTTTTAATATGAAAAACAGACAGTTCAGTATTTGTGTGATAATACCTTTGTGTTTTGACATTGGGGGCAAAAATTATATACAAAATATTGGTTTTTTTGAGTTTTTTGGGGCTGTTAATGTGCTGCATGTTCTTTTTTAAATTTTTTTTTTTAAAACAAGTGTTTTTTGTTGGACATTTTCCCTTGTTGATTTTTTTCAATTTTTTTTATTTTTTTTTCCTTGCATTTTCAAATTTCACAAAAATCAAGCTATTATGGGTTTGCGTTTATAGTTTTTAAATCTTTTCAAAATAATTTTGGGCATTTTAATAAAAAAGTAGAATCTTTTACAAGTTTTTAATTATACCCCTGAGGATGCAAGTTTTAATCTGCTAATACTGTGATACCTATTTTAAATACATCACGCTCATTTTATTTTACTTGCCTGTGTTCTTTATAAAATATTTGGTCTATAAAAAGCCCTTACAGGATAAAACCTTAAACAAGTACATCAAAACTTGTGAAACCTTAACCCTATACCTCATATATATGCGAAACAACGCATTTTCGACCCCCCCCCCCCCCCAAAAAAAAAAAAAAAAAAAAAAAAAGAAGAAAATTTTGGACTTGTGAGAGGCTAAAAATGACCCAAGATCGATCAAAATGTAACGTGTAACAAATGCTGAAAAGCATCTGACTCTTTCTCAATCCATTGAGAAGTTGCAGCACTTTGAAATCAATTTTGATGGAAAATTCAATGCAAAATAGTGATTTTTGGCAATTTTGAGATGTCCTCTCGTTGCCATGGTAATACGAAATTTAAGCCTGAGTATGTTGTTACAAATGAAATTGTCCAGATAACATTTGTGCCAAGTTTGATTAGTATTGAAGCAGTTTTTATAGTTTTATAGCAATTTGAACTTGTAACGGGATACTTTTCACTGAAAACCGCCATTTTTCACAAAATGCTTATGAAGTAATGGGTTAAACAAGCACATCAAAACTTGTGAAACCTTAAAACTTGTGAAAACTTAAAGCATTTCTTTTAGTTATTTTTAACATCAATAAATAGACATATGAGAGTACGGCATAAATGCAAAATGTCAAATACATGGCATGTGGTGTGTGCAAACAGTATTATTAAGCGATATTGTTCAGTCATTTTAAATGTTCTGTTTTGTTGTATTAGTTAATTATCAATTTTCATTGAGTGATCAACTATCTTAATATTTTATTTATTATTTTCTTTAATTACAAAGCTATTAGCTACATATATATATATTTAATTGTTGAAACGTTTTAGTTTAATAAAAATCAAGAAAAGTACATTGTTGGGTCCACTTTCATTTCCAACACCAGTCAAACATTTGCAACGTTTATGGGCCATTATGTAGACAATTGCACTCATTTCCTCCAAGCATTAGACCAGATCTCTCACAATTCGCACAACAGACTGGAATACTGTTGATGAATCCAACGTATGTTTTGTTTGGTCCGTTTAAACATGGTTCACATTGCGGTCCATTCCAGCAGGTTCCTTTTATTTCTAAAATTTAAAAATTATTATATACATAATTTCTCGTCTATAATAATATAAACGGACACGAAAATAGAGACAGTGAATAAGAATGCATGTTGTACCTATATTTAAGCTATTTTCTGCAACACTTTTATTTCTGTTGAATTTAATGATGTTATATACACTTATCGACTTTAAAAGATTGTAGATGAAATATTACTTCTTCTATCCTCTGGGTAATTGCACGTACAAAACGGTATTCCGTCACTTTCTCTGTTTCCGGCATTAAAATTCTTCTTGCAACCTGGACAACACACTTTGACATATATGGATTCCACATTGACAATCTTATAATAACCTTCTTGACATCTATCACAATAGCTGCCAATCTCACAATTTGCTAAAGAAATGAAATACAAAAATGTATGTTGTTTTATATACTTAATACTAATTAATGTTATATAAATTATGTAAAGTTGTTTCATTAATCAAGCAATGTCGTACTATATTTGTTTTGTATAATCACCAATAAAAGGTATATTTGTTCTGTATCATCAACAATATTACTCTCTTTTTGCTTTTATCTGCAATGTCATTTTTATTTTTATCAGCATCTGTTTTGTATCAGCGAATATATTGCTCTCTATACGTTTTTTTGTATCGGCAATATCATTCTCTATTTGATTTGTATCAGAACTATTATTATCTAATTGATTGTATCGGCCATGTCATTGTCATTTTTTATTTGTTTTGTATAACCAATATCATTTTTGCGACGGACGCGCCCTCGGGGGCGTTCAGAGCTAAGTCATTTACACATGGGATTTCGTCGGCTACAATCGCGCAGTGTCCTAAACCGATTAACAGCCCAAGAAATAGTACATGAATTTGATCCTTCAAAACTCTCATACTTTGTCGGGATATCTTAAAATCTTCCATATTTAGCCCCATCATTTTCAAATTAAGTTATCCAAGTTAAAATATGAACGTATATTATTGATAAAAACGTTGTAGTCCCATAGTATTATTGCGCAATATGCAAATTACTGCCGAAACGATTTACCGCTGTCGAAAAAGTAGGACAGCAAATTATACTACAATAAAGATGTAAGCTCTGAGTTCCAAGACATAATTAGTAGGAAATAAATATTTCTACATTATACAAAACATTATTATTAACAAATCAAAAGTTTTTCGTGACTCTAGGATAACTCGCGCATTAATAAAAGAAGAACTATTTTCGTGACTCATACCGCGGCTTTAGCTAAATATTCAGCAGTTATTAATAAATTAGATACAGTACAATGGTTAGTATAAATATCTATTTTTGAAAATGCATGTAAGAAGAGAGATTTTCAACACTTTACCACCATGTAGTCTTTCATGGTAAGGAAGTTATAATATCAGTTCTACTTCCGATTCTTGTGGTTTGTTTACATAATATTATTATTCTAGGTCACCTTATGTATACCTTCGGTATTCTAAAATAGATTCTGCTTCACTGTGCTGATTTTTGGACAGGCGATTAGGGAGTACACATTATACATGTAATAAACCAGGGGATTTCATGCAATACTTTTAGAAATTCTATACAATTGTAAGAAGCAAACAAGTTGAAAATGGAATTTAGTGTGAAATTGAAAAGGACAACTAAACACTGTAGTGCTTAAGTGACATTTAAATTAAAATAAAAACAATGTGCTCTGGCCTCTACATCTTTACCTTGTAAATAAAAAAAAAATCTAAAAATACACTATTAATTGCTGATGATTTTAACCAAAAAGTTTTTAATGAGACATATCTAAGAGAAATAATTGCTTGAAATTTATTTGCATGGTTTTATTTTAGAAATATTTCGTTGACAGTTTTTTTTTTCTATTTACATATCATTTCTTGGAATAAATCGATAAGGACACTGATTTACAAGTTTGACCAGAGTTTTTAGGCATACATTTCATTAAGTGCTTGAAAGTAGAAAATCTGAATTATATCAGTTTGGGACACAAAATATATTGCTCTACAAATCTCGAACTTGTATGGAACAAATTTTCTCTGTTATATATTTTGTGTTTTTTTTGTTTTTTTTTTTTTTTTTTAAAAGCCTTAATGTCTCTCCGGTTGCATGTCCGTCGCATTCAGTGCTGCAGCACTTTGATTTGTATCAGCAATTGTGTACTATATTTGTTTCGTATAATCAGCAATATCATTCTCTATAAACTGTTCGTCATAATCTCGTACAATAAAAATCATTTTCTACCTATTCTGAAACAAGCTCTGGATAATGTACATTTAATGTCATTTTCCACTTTTTGCTTTTTATTAATAAATTGTGATTATACAAAGTTAAGTTTACAAAAACAGACGCGATACTTTACAAATATGGTGATTAATACATGTACTGCAAAAATAGTCATTAATCGCACATACAGTAAATCAATAGATTTACATGAATCTTGAATATTTTTACTATTTCTTAACAGTCTTAGTTCATTTTCTTTATAATTAACTTGTAAATGTTTAGATTTATATCTTTATGTATACTTTGTTTCTTCTTTTGTTTATTAGGACCACCAAAAAAGGCGATTTAAATTTTCCATTTTAGAAATTTTGAAATTTGTCATATCTTATGTTTGGCTCTTTAGATATACACTTTATGATAATAATTATGATTGACAAATACAGTATACCAAACACTTACATGGTATTTCATCTGCCGACAGGGAGGCGAGGGCAATCACGAGAATCACAAACAGACCCGCACTAACGATATTCTGAAAGTATAATTATGCTTGGATACAGTTAAAACTTAAAAACTCTACAAATGGAAAGGTCATTTTACATCATTTTAAATAGCAAAGATGATTCTTAGTTGAATACTTAATTCAAATGGTTTTTCGGTGTTGCTGTCAAAACAATGTGTTTAAATATGATAAACAAGATCAACAAGGAAAGGCGTCGTTCTAAGGAAAGCCGTGGCTGACTTATATTGTTTATTTTCAATTTATCTAACCATTTGGATAATATATAAGTTAACTTCGACTATTCATGAATTGAAAACACCTTCTTATTAAACCGGAATCCGTTATGTTAATCCACAGTTCCTAGATATGAAGCCATACCGTCAGTGTATGAAACCAATATAGCAATATATTAGTTGATGTTCGCAATATATGATACCAGTTCTTCAATATATTGAACCAAAAAAGCCATTATAGAACCAGGTTTCCTCATATGAAGCCGAATTAGCAATATATTAATTCATTTTACAATATATGGAACCAATTTATCAATGTATGAAACCAAAGTAGAAATATATTAGTTGTTTATCACAATATATGACAATATATCGTTTATATTCAATATATATGGTACCAAATTAGCCATATATAGATTCAAAAGATCAATATATTGATTCATTTAACAAGATATGAAACCATTTAATCAATGTTTGGAACCGAAGTTGCAATATATAAGTTGATTATCACTTTATATGATACCAATTTTTCAATATATTTTACCAAATTAGCCATACATGGAACCAGATGTCCTTACATAAAAACGAATTGTCAATATATTAATTAATTTTTGCTATTAATGAAACCAATTTATCAATGTATGGAACCAAAGTAGCAACATATGAGTTGATTATGACATTATATGATACCAGTTCTTCAATATATGGTACCAAAGTAGCCATATATATGGAACTAGATGTTCTTATATGATACCTAATTTTCAATATATTAATTCATTTTTACAATATATACCAGAACAGAATACATTTATATGTAAACACAGGTATAATGATGGACGTACTTTGCGTGTGATAAGCTCCAACCAACTGAAAGATTACTAATGTTATCCAAACCAGTTATGAACGCCCCTAATATTTCCAAAGTTTTCAAATTCTTTAAAGATATAAATTCAAAAAAGATGATAACGAAATTTAATCAATCAAATCTGAAATTCCCAATTCTTTAAATAATAATGCACTTAATAGATAAATCGCAAACTAATTTCAAATTGAAAAATGGCCAAGCTGAGACACAATTTGATAACACATCAAATGAATACATCAAACACACATAATCAATAATAGTCCAATTCTATCGCCAGTTTTTTTTAAAAATAATTTTAGAGTAGGAGCTATTTAGCCAGTTTATAAAACAAAGGATACCCTTCTAACCCTGATAACCATCGTTTCTTAGGGAAAACGGGTCGTTGGAAACCCATGACAAAATGTTACTTCTGAGACATTGGCGATGAGATGCATTACCTTTTAATATGTCCTTCTTTCAGAACGATATTCTATACTATACAAAATGTACTTAATTTTTAAGGAACTGCTTAACACAAATGATAGTCAGACCTTTACAAGCTTTAGCTATGTAGTGGTGGGGTTTATGTCAAATAAACACTCAGTGATATTTATGTATATTTTTCAGTAAAGAATAAACCAGGCTTTGCAAGAAGAAATCTAATTTAAATAAAATGAATATAAATATCAAGTATTTCTTTTAAGAAATTACTGAGACAACGAAGATTTTATAAAGTTATCCTATTACTTTGGAAGCAATGAAAGGTGTGGTCATATACCAGGAAATGTTAGCTATCCCAGAACCAAATCATCTAACAAGAGCCACCGCTGGACGGGGGCAACCCTCGACTTTTTACTTTCTCTAAAAGCAAACAAAGTAATGTTTGAACAAAATATTAACGTTTCCTTTTTATAAAATTAATCGGTCTATTTTGTCACATTAGTTTTATCTATATAGTTTGTATATATAAATATACTATTATATATTTAGATAGAAACACGCAATTCTATAAATAGAAACACGCAATTCTATAAATAAAAAATTCTGAAAATAAATACACGTGGTGGAGTCACGTGGTGGTGACACGTGGTGGTTTCACGTGGTGGTGATCCCTTCAATAATGGCAAAGTTACAGCCAGTTACAGCAAAAACAATGTGAATTTCAATAATTTGAACTTCAAGTCAAGGTCATTAATGAGTGAACGTCAAGGTCTGTCTGGTTATTTTTAAGGGATATCTTTGAAGATTTTTATGTTCAAGTTTGAAGACAATCCATTCAAAAATAACACAGTTACAACCAATAACAGCATGAACAAGCAAAATTTAACCTTGAAGGTCAAGGTCATTCATGGATGAAGGTCAAGGTTAGTGTAAGTCTACTGAAAGGTCTTGTCCCAAGGGTTGTTGTGGCCAAGTATGAAGACAATACACCAAGAAATAAAAAAAGTTTTGATCGAGGTACAAGTTTGCGGACCGCAATGGCAACGCCGCCGCGACTACAGCAATACCTCTACTTTATTTTAAAAAAAGTCGAGCTAAAAATAACTTTCATACGAAATCAATAATCCATCATTCAACTTTCAAAACCAGTTCAAACACCAACAACAAAAGGACAAAAGACAAACATAAACACAACACCACAATAGATCTGGTCTGGCCTTTAAGATAAATTACCGTATACATTAAAAAATAAAAACTTGGATTATTTAACCCTGTCTACACACATCTACACACTCCCCCTCTAGTAAGAAATGACACCGGCATTTTCCTATGAAACAATTATTTATGAAACCTGGATATATTAAAAAAACTTATAATCAACTCGAAAAACAAAAATGCAGTTCTTTATTCTATTAACCAATTTGTAGCCCATCACAATCTTGATTCTGTTTGCCTGACTTATATATGATCTCCAAATATTAGGCAATCAAAGCAACAATCCAACGATGACCTGTCGCGTCGAACAAAGCAATGAACAGGACATAAGTTAAATGGTTGTTAATTGTATAAACAAGAAAATCGTTGCCATAAAGATAGTCGTGAAATGTATCATAGACAGCCCACCTTAAAGCTAAAAGTTAATTGATCATAGTAAATATGCCCTTTCCGTCTCAAACCTGTGCTAGCATAAGCTATGCCACAGTCTGAGCCATCTCAACTTGCCATAGCCGCTGCGCAGAATAGTTGTGTGTGTGTGTTTTTTTTTTTGTTTGTTTGTTTTTAATTCCATTTTTTGTATGGGCATCAAGACTGGACGAGCACCTGTGGATAATACTGGCAGTCAAATACCAATTATTCCACCAGATGACTTGACACTGCTACCCCGTCCAATCAAATAACTTACCAACCAAACAAACGCCAAAACAAAACAAACGCAATAAATCACACGACAGCACTTACTTTTAACTGAAAAAAATACTTTCACGCGAATTGGTTCTGTGTGTTTATTGTTTAGTTAAGTAGACAAGAACAGACAGAAAGATCAGAAATAGAGTATATATGTATTCAATACACAATTAAAACAACAAACAGTAATAAGAGCCTTAAATTAGGTTTTCTAAATATCTATTTCAATGTAAACAAAATAATTCAAAGACCCTAAACGTTTTCTAAATATCTATTTGAATATATCTATACTAGTAAATTTTACTATAATAACCCAACACCAAGTATTTACAAACAAAAAATCTATATAAACAAAGAAGTTTATGTATCAAATAATAAATAATCAGTAACAGTTTACTGTTACTAAGTTACTAAGTTACTAAGTAGTGCATGTTAAGTTTGTCATTACAAAAATTAACCATTTATAAAAATCGCATTATCTGATTTATTTTAAATACCTGGGGATTGTTAATCCTAATTATTCCCATCTTTACTTTTTTCTTTTCTCTTTTTTTGTGTTTGCCTATAATATTGTTTTAACTTTCTGAATTAATTGCAATTATCAATTACACCTGTTTTATTAATAGACATGTCACGGAAACCCAGTGATGCAATGTTACTGTTAGGTTGATAGAAAAAATCGTAAATGTTACTAAAAAAACGGTGTTGGAAATTCCTTTCTCAAAAACCAGATGGAAAAATCCGTAAATGTTACTAAAAATAGCGGTGTTGGAAAATCTTATCTCACATGAGTTTATCCAAACTTCTCACAATGATTACAGAATTGTAATCACTGCCTTCACAGACGTCACATGATGATGAAAGTCACATGACGTAACGTCGAACCGACCGTTGCATAGAAAATCATTTTTCCCTTTCTGTTTTATTTTTAACTTTTCGTACCTATGTTCGTTATATTTCATCCAAAAAAAATATTAAAAGAATGCAAAATAATATAAAATGAATTCAAAAGCTAAAAAATATAAAATATCAAAATTTGATAAAAATGTTTGTGATGGCAGAGACCTCCAATCGCAACTACTCGGCCCTTTTCGTCAGTCTTCGGATAAGGACATCGATTACAATAGTATGAATACACAGAACGAAGACGTTTTTTTTCGGTCTTACCTACGCTAAGAAACTAGACATGTATAAAAATGGTAATTTAATGCTGGGAGTTGTTGAAAAGTTTATTTCCGATATATCAAGTATATGCCTACCTAAAATAAGTGGATTCATAGATTACAATCTTAAATAAACTACATTTAAACTTGGACACTCCAACTTGTTAAAATTTTGCAAAACAACAGTGATTTTCGGCCATTCTGTCGAACACGAAAGTACAAAATATACACCATATTGTTCCACTGTCCTGGTCCCCTACGACTACGTTCGCTGAACAATAAACAACAGTAACCAATAAATTGGTTACCGTTGTCTACTGTTCTGCGAAGGTGCGAACGTAGTCGTACGAAACCAGGAGTGTAGGTTTTGTACTTTCGTTTTCGACAACATGTCCGACCATCAAGGGAATTTTGCAAGATTTTAACAAATTGGAGTATCTTAGTTTAATTGTAAGTCATTTAAGATTGTATATAAGGTAGAAGAAGAATGTTAACAATTTATTTTCTAAATGCATTATGTGTAAAGACTAGCAAAGTAGCCTGTATTGTTACAGAACTGGACATTGTGGTTGTTCCACAGCGTGTCCTAGTAAAGCTCCATAGCGTTATGGCTACTAGGTGACCCTTTCGTAGTCCTGGTATATAGGAAAAAAATTTTCTTTCACTCAAGCCAGAATAGTTGGGGTTTTTTGTTGGGGTTTTTTGTTTGTTTGTTTGTTTTTAATTTCAATTTTTTTGTATGGGCACCAAGACTGGACGAACACCTGTGAAAAATACCGGCAATCAAATACCAATTATTCCACCAGATGACTTGACACTGCTACTCCGTCCAATCAAATAACTTACCAACCAAACAAACGCCAAAACAAAACAAACGCAATAAATCACACGACAGCACTTACTTTTAACTGAAAAAATACTTTCACGCGAATTGGTTCTGGGTTTTAATTATTTAGTTGAGTAGACAAGAACAGACATAAAGATCAGAAATAGAGTATATATGTATTCAATACACAATTAAAACAACAAACACAGTAATAAGAGCCTTAAATTAGGTTTTCTAAATATCTATTTCAATGTAAACAAAATAATTCAAAGACCCTTAACGTTTTCTAAATATCTATTTGAATATATCTATACTAGTAAATTTTACTATAATAACCCAACACCAAGTATTTACAAACAAAAATTCGATATAAACAAAGATTTTTACAATCAAATAATTAGTAACAGTATACTATAGTAGTACATGTTAAGTTTGTCATGAAAAAAAAAACAATTTATAAAAATCGCATTAACTTATTTATTATAAATACCTGGGGATGGTTAATCCTAATTATTCCCATCTTTACTTTTTTCTTTTCTTTTTTTTTTGGTGTTTGCCTATAATATTGTTTTAACTTACTTATCAATTGCAATTAATTATGAATTACACTTGTTATATTTATAGATATGCCACGGAAACCCAGTGCTGCAATGTTATTGTTATGTTTCTCAATAACCAGATAAAAAAATCGTAAATGTTTCTAAAAGTAGCGGTGTTGGAAAATGTTTTCTCAAAAACCAGATAGAAAAATCCGTAAATGTTATGTTGATAGAAAAATTCGCAAATGTTCCTAAAAATAGCGGTGTTGGAAAATCTTTTCTCAAAAACCAGATAGAAAAATCCGTAAATGTTATTAAAAATAGCGGTGTTAAAAATATACATGGGTATATCCAAAACTCCTACGCTAAGAAACTAGACATGTAAACAAATAGTAATTTAATGCTGGGAGTTGTTGACAAGTTTATTTCCAATATATCAAGTAAATGCCCACCTAAAATAAGTGAATTCATAGATACAAAAGCAAACAATACATTATTTGTATATTTATTATTATGGTTGTAGAAACCGAAAGTACAAAATGCCAACCTGTTGACATTCAGTCGCATTTGTTTAAAATTGTACATCAGTGGGCATATTTAAATTAAAAATGGTTGTCAGATATATTTTCAATCATAATTGTACCGAAACAGACTTAATTTTCTTTTGGATGTCAATTATATGAACATTCGTTTTACATCTCCTCTCTTTATGTTTACATCTGAAACCCCGTGGTAGAACTACTTTCACTCCGTATTGTTTCAGAGGTAATTATAGATAATAGCCGAGGCAGTTCCGAATGAGAGATCTCTGTACTGATAAGGGGAGATCACTGCGTAGGAGATAGGGGCTTATCTCACACTCAACGTGCAGCACTTCTTAAAACGTATTCCTACACATAGGCGATTCACTCCTATTTTTACAAAAATGAAACGCCAAAAGGTCAAAATGTATTAAAAATATGTGAGCTAACCGATTAAATTTTCCATGAAATCAAAATAGATTGATATTAACTTTCGCACTGCAATGAGTCCTACTCTACCTAGGTCCGCCCTTTTCAATATCGATCTGTTTATAAAGTAGCACACTTTAAAATATTGCAAAAGTATTTGTAAAATCGGATATTATGAAACTTTGCCTGAAAAACATACATGTTTTCTGTTATGATAACGATGCTTCTTGATGACGAATCTCTGTTTGATATATTTTATTGAATATTCGGCCCAAATGACCGAATAAGTAGAAAAGTCTTTGCTAACGGCAAACGCTTTTTGTCAACCATTGAAGTATGGACTGAATTCCTTATAAACACTTAGATTATGACACTTTCCGACTTTAATATTGATGTGTTTTATCACGATAACCTTGCTTTTTGATGAGGGATCTCATTTGAATTTATTTTCATTAAATTTTCACACATAAACTTGATCAGTAGAATTTGTATGTTGTAATTGAGGTTGTATACCACACTAAATATGTATTATAGTTATGCTTATAAACAATTTCCAAACACCAAAGAATATGTAAAATATGTACTGCAAGTATTTGTACATACATTGTATATGTAATCATTAAAATATATGCATTCATTTTTTATTGAAAAATTTGACTTAGGCTTTATTGAAAATAATTTTTATTACCTCCCGTTATTGTTTGAAATGTTAAATTCGGTAATATCTTTATAAATAATACTTTTTGGAACTTTTTTTATTGATATATCTTAATTTGAGCATCACATTTATGATATAAAACCATAAACATTTGTGTTACAGGATCCCCTCAATCCAAAACATAATTAATTATAAATTTTTTATCATGTTGTTACCAATACTAAATCTTCATTCTATTTTTCGTGCATTGTCATTGCTTGATACATGTTAAATGTATATCATGTAATCTGTGAAAAAAAATCTAACGAAAAGATAAAGTGAGTTGTATGGTATTGTATTGTATTTTATTTTAATAACATTGACTCAGTGGCGTACCTATCGATACATGAATATGCACAGGCGTATAAAATGAACAAGACAGTCTGAAGGACAGCTGAATCCCCTTCCGCAGTGAACATGAATGTGTACCTCTTGACCTTTTACCAGCCATGACCTTGATGTTATGCCATGCATATATTAAGAGCATAGACTCATGGTGGTGATTATTTGACAATGTGCAATTTTATTTAAAATCTTCCATAAAGTAAAATCGTTATGGAGAACATATAACCTTGACCTTGGGTGTAGCGACCTGGATGCTGAACTCTGCAGATTGTGTCATGGTGGTGATCATTTGGGCAAAGTAATTTTAAAACCTTAGAATTGTCAATATGTTATAGAGCGGACAAGAAAAATAAATGTTTTTTACATTGGACCTTCAGGGTTGTGACTTGATTATTGTGCTCTTCCAATGGTGTTATAATGGTGATCATTTCTGCCAAGTTACCTTAAAACATTGCAGCTGTTTAAATGTTATGGACAGACACAAAATGTAGACCTTTTAACATTTGACCTGCAAGTGTGACCTTGACCTTGGGTGTAGCAATTCAATTATTGCGCTCTGCACATCGTCTCATAATGTTGATCATTCGTGTCATGTTATTTAAAACCTTTTCAGCGATTTAAAAGTTATGGAGTTATGGACACGAATTGTATACCTTTTAACACTTGACCTTTAAGTGTGTCATTAACCTTGGATAGTAACCCAATTATTGCACTCTGTACATTGTCTCATAAAGGTGATCACTTGTGCCAAGCTATTTGAAAAACAAAGGTTTTAAAGTTAGGGATGGGACATGAAATGTAGACTTTTCTAGAGTTGACCTTTAAGTGTGACCTTGATCTTGGGTTGCAACCAAATAATTGTGTTCTGCATATCTTCTTATAATGGTGATCAATTGTGTTAAGTTATTATCTAAAAACTTCAGTGGTTAAAAGGTTATGGAGCGGACACGTAATGTAGACTTTTTAATATAAGTGTGACCTAGACCTTTTGGGTAGCAAGCCAATTATTGCGCTCTGCATGTCGTCTTATAATGGTTATCACTTGTGACAAGTTATTTCGAAAAAATATCGGCAGTTTAAAATGTACAATTTTTATTATGAAATGAAGACATTTTAACATTTGACCTTTAAGTGTGACCTTGACCTTGGGGGTTGCAACCCAATTTTTGCGCTCTACACATCGTCTCATTATGGTTATTACTTCTGCCAAGTTATTTCAAACACTTTCCAGCGGTTAAAAAGTTATGGAGCGGACATGAAATGTAGACTTTTTATTATGAAATGAAGGCATTTTAACACTTGACCTTTAAGTTTGACAAATGGGATACTTATGCCAAGTTATTTAAAAAAATCCAGAGGTTTAAAAGTTATGGAGTGGACACAAAGGTGTTCTGACGGACGGACAGAAGGACGGACTGACAGACGGAGGCCATTCCTATAATCCCCTTTTCTGCCTTTTACCTATTTTGATAACGTGAACAAAAATCTGGAAACAAAGTGATCCCTCGGAAGCATTAATCACAACAAAATTACAAGAGAATTGCAGACTCGGTTTGATTGAGTCTGTACATGAGGGATAATGTAAAGTGCATCGTGAATCAATCAAAGGTTATGAAAGTAGGGAGTAAACCCATACAAGAAAATACAATATTTCCTTGGGTATATCATCGGGGAGTAATTTTAACATGAAATTTCCCATTGTGGTTATTATCTGGATTCTTATTAATCAACTTTTAAGAAGGCAAGGTTTATTTCAATTTATACCACAATATGCGGATTTTATTAAGGATGAGCCTTTTAAACTAAGTAAACAAAATGTTTGCCACGGAGTGACATACAAAATGTAAAGTTTATTTTAAAAAGAGTTGACCCATGCTTTGAATAATCAATGTTATAATTCTTATAATTTACCTCGTTGAAATCAATATAATGATGAAAATGCCCAATTTATAACACCAACCAGAAGTGCTAAATTACTCAATATCAGTCAAACTGAACATTTTTTTTATTTTGTTCACTTTATTTACACATTTATGTGTTGTTTGTAACTTGGCGTTTGTAGCATAACAAAAATGGGGTTAGCTATATGGAATGTCTTCATATTATAGTTTACCTTGTAGTTATTAGTCCGTTTATATGCCAGTCACATTCATTTCATTTTACATTCATTTGAAATTGTGCAGAATAGATTTCGCTCTTCAAATCTGATTTTTGCAAACAATAGCCCAAATCTATCGTCACAAAGCGAACTCAACCTTTTATTGAAAATATTTTATAAATCTAAGTCCGTAAAATAAAATATTTACAAGGTATATCATTGCAGAAAGTTATTTCAATTGTCTTATCTTATTGAGTAAAGAAATGAATTTCATACATCTTTATGATATGTTTCCTGTTACCTACAAATGTGTCATTTATATGGTATTGACATACTGCTCACTTCTAAAATTGTATTTTTAGGGGGCCTATCTGATCGCGTGTAGGTGTGGTGTGGATACTATAACTTGTTGTTATACTAAAGTATTTGATCTGTTGTGTTAGTTATATTGTTCTACAGGTCATTTTAAAGCGATATTTTCCTTGATTTTAAACAAACAAACAATCAAAAAAATGAAGAAAGAAATGCTAAACATCTTGATTTCAATAGAGATTATTATTATTATTATTATTATTATTATTATTATTATTATTATTAAATAACAATTTACGCCTAAAATGTCCCCTGAATCGCTGTTAATAACGACTCTTTGGCCCAAGAACTGAACTTAGCGCATAGTAAAAACAAGCCAAGGTACGGCACCCCAGTTTTTGTATATAAGTTCAATTTATAAAAAAAGGGTGTGAGACAGTCTTGTTTTATTTTTGTGCAGATTTATATTTTATCCTATTATATTCCAGTATCAACTTTCGTCAAACACCATTATTAGTCAATCTTTTGAACTCAACTCAACTTGACCATAAAAATTAAAATATACTATGGTCTTTGGTAAAATAATTACCAGTTGTTTCAAATTTTAATTTCCATATGATATATCTTTTAAGATATAGTATGTTGTAATTAAGGATGTAACATCATTTTAGTAAAATTTTATATACGTATATAATTATTCCTCTAAAACAGTTTTCAAACATCCAAGAATATGTTAAATTTGTACTGCAAATGTTTACTCGCATCATATGTTATCATTAAAATATATACATGTACATTCATTTCTTATTGAACAATTTGGCTTAGACATTTCTAATTACCTCCCTTTATTTACATGAACTGTAAATTCGGTAATATCTTTATAAATAATGCTTTTTGAACTTACAATATTGATAAATCTTCATTTAAGCATCATATTTATGTTATAAAATCATAAAAATGAGGTACAGGATCTTTAACATTTGGCTTATGAATAATGGAACATTATCAATACCGACTTACACGAATTAAGCGGTGAAATATCAATCGCAACATTTCGTCCCTTTCCGACTTCGGATAAGGACATTTATAATGAATAATAGCCAAAGATTTTCCGAGTGCATGAAATAAATGTGCAAATTTAAGTGCACAGATAGTTGCCTTCTCAAAATCCCTCCCGAGTGGGTCACGTCGCGGAGAAGGCACATGGTAGGTCAGGGTCAAGTCGTCTCTAGTACCAGGGACGATTGGTTGACCTTGGAGGGTGGTACTAACAAGAGCCGTTTAATGTTTGCTTCCGTCACGGAACATGATGCCTTGACAGTATTGTGGTACCTCAACCAACCACAAACGAACGGAGAGCAGGTTTAAGGAATCTCGGCATGCAAAAGAAGTTTTCGATGAGACTTCTAGAGTGGACCGACATAGTCGCTATAAGATCTCGGACACATGGAATTTTGGGCGACGAGCTAAACTAAAACTAAAAATTAAATCACACAAACACAAACACGAGCGCGCGCCCTTGCACGCACACATACACTCACACACGCGCGCACACACACACATGGGGCGTCCGTGGCCGAGTGGTTAAGGTCGTTGACTTCAAACCACTTGCCCCTCACCGCTGTGGGTTCAAATCCCGACAGGGACTTTGGATTCTTTCAGGTGAGGAAGATATCCAGCTACCTTACGGAACGTCGGTGGTTCTACTCGTTCGTGCCTGAAATAATGCACGGAAGGTCATCTGAGGTCTTCCTCCACCAGTAAATCTGGAACGTCGCGATATGAGCTATACTTTGTCGATGTGACATAAAACCCAAACAAACAAACACACACACACACGCGCGCACGCACGCACGCACGCACGAACACACACACACACACACGCACACACACAGGTAGATAAGTACTACATATGATAAGGCACATATAAAATTTAAATGATTCAAGTTCATCATTTAATTAGGGAGAAAATATGTAGACAAGCACTAAATGACTCAGTCTCAATGATCAGTAGCATCATATAAATGCATTGATAACTAATTTGCTAATAAAATAAAACCAAAAAATGTCTTACATATCGCGGCAATTTCCATCAAGGAGGATACATCTAAATTCGACCTCACATATAAAAATCTGGAAACAAAGTGATATAAAACATCAGAAAACAAAAGAGCAAACGACGTTTTAAGAACTAACACCACGGAACAAATGAAGGGACTTCCCGTTCAAATATGTAAAGCGTGCACACCATTAGGACGTGGGACTGTCTCAATGCCAAAGATTAAAGGTGTTAGAGGTAGATGGATGGATGAAAATTTTATTTTTGTCGAAGATAACATTACTGAAGGAAAGGAAAAGGAGGTTTTCTGTCAACCACTTGATAGTGTCGCAATAGTTTGTACAGACGATCAAGATAATCCAGATAACGTACAGTTAATTTCAATGGTAGTTGGGGGAAACATTATAAAGAAAGGCTCATATGCAACACTAAAACTAATAGAAGGAATCAACCAAGTTGAAGAAGAAACCAATTCTACCATTAAACTTTTGTAACTAAACATCGGCTTGAGAACTTATATTCGTAGGAACTATGTAAGAATAATATTAATTGTTTTATTGTATAATTTACACAAACTATGAGAAAATGGTGTTGATCGTTTGATAACAGAAATACGAGAGCATAATGCTTATTTTTGATTAATGAATTTCCATAAAGAAAATATGAGAGAATGGTGTTTATTGTTTGAATATTTTCACTTACCTTGTTCATTTTTATGTTTTCAGTCAAAATTTTATTATTGTTGACGTGAATAACATGTGTAACTCCTCTGTTCAGAAATGATGATAGACTTTACGACAGAATTGTTGTATTCACATGCTTGTGGTGTTTTTAATTTCTTCTATTTGACCTTTTTAAAGTTGGGTGGTTCCAGTATGATCACCCTTAGGATATGGTGCCTGCTTTTTTTAAATTTGACTTTTTATATCTTTTCTGTGATATGCAAGCTTCATGAAATCTGATCCCCTTTCAAAATGTTATTTTGTTTAGTTGCGCCCATTGTTTTCTCGATTAATTCACCCGCTTTCATAACTTTGGGACCATTCGCCGCTTTTCATGGAATGACACGAACGTTCCAGCTTGAATATTACATGATAACTGCCTTATGAACACATCTCAGAATGTTTCTTAATTAAATCTTCCATCATATTTGTGTTTAAATATTGAATTCTGCTGAAGCCGATGCTAGGGGCGTGGACGGTAACTTGCACTGCCCAGTATCGTCCATGAACAGCCTCGATCAAACCTAGCCTGCAACATTTTCAGGTTTGTCGGTTTTAGCATCCGTTAATTCCGTTAATCTCTTTTTTAATTGAAACCTGCTGGTACACGTGTCTCTTGAAGCATGCATTTCCAGTTTGCTTACAGCGTTCTTTATTTGAACGTTTGGTGATCTCAATTAGCAGGTAAGTTTCCAACTCGTGCAAATACATTGCACAAGATACATCTGATTGTATTTATACTTGTCATTTAGTTTTTATTTTCAAGCTATCTTTAATATTGTACAGTTTTAATATGAAAAACATAAAGTTCAGTATTTGTGTGATTATAGCTTTGTGCCTTTTATACATAAATTTGTTATATGGTATTGAGCAGAATAATATAAATGTATTGGTGTTTTGTACCTTTTTAGGGGTGTCAATGTGCCTGCATGTTTCATTTCTATAAAAAAAAATTAACTTGTTGTTGATGACTTTAAGTAAATTGGTTGGTGTTTTTGTTTCCTTAGCATGTCTTAATTGACAGGCTCAAGTTATTATTATCCGGATCTATGATTTTGTTTTGACAATGTGATTCTAATTTAGTGCCATTCAAGAATTTAATATGATTTTTTTTTAAATATATTAAATCATTTTGACCTTTTAAACGTATATGTGTGTGCGGTTTCTTATCCTTTTATCGATTGTTAGTTGTAAGATTTTAAATTTGATTTACACATGTATTTGTATTTTACATATTATGAAGTTGATTTTGATCATAAGATTTTTCAACTGTCGTACAGTCTTAAACAAATACCTTTATTTACTCAAGACATGAACAAACCATGACATTATCAGGTGAAAAGCTTGCATGTAGAGAAATTCGAGGCATCAGTAATATAATGTATTTTAGACATAATATGCTTAACACTGCATAGCCTACAGACATTTAATCGTTGTCTTTATTTATAAAACCTTAAGACTTACACTTGTTCATTAAATTTTGCTCAAGTTAAATGTACAGCAAAGAATGTTATAGTCTTACATTAAGTGTTATCATTTTTTTTGATATTAAGTTTTATCTTTTTTGTATTATTTATTATTTTTGAATCTATACAAGTCTAAAGTAAATAATATTGCATATTAATTAAGAGTTGAATCATATTTATTATATCCCTTTTATGGGGATGCAAGTTTTAATCTGCTAATATTCTGCTACCTATATTGAATACGTCCCGCTCATGTTTCTTACTTCCCTGTGTTCTTTATAAAATATTTGGTCTATGAAAAAACACCCGTACAGGATAAAACCTTAAACAAGTACATCAAAACTTGTGAAACCTTAGTATTTAGTTTCATTATTCTTTAATAGGTCAGAACTTTATTATCTCAAATCAATATTTAGACCTATGAGAGTACGGCAAAAATGCGAAATGTCAAATACATGGCATGTGGTGTGTGCAAATAGTAATATAAAGCGATATTTTTTTCAGTCATTTTAAATGTTCTCTTTTGTTCTATTAGTTGATTATCAATGTTCATGTAGTGATCAACGATCTCAATATTTTATTTATCATTTTCTTTATTTCAAACGCTATTACTACATGTATATTATCACATGTTATCATAATGAACAACAGCGTAATATTTACAGAATCATTTTTAATAAAGTAGTTTATAAAAGAAAAGTAAATTATAACGACAAATCAATACTTCCATTGACAATCGTTTAATATTATTTCAGTTTAAACAACAAATCAAGAAAAGAACATAGTTGCGGTCTACTTTCATTAACAATATTATTCAATCATTTGGAACGTTTACGGACCATTATGTAGACAATTGCACAGTTTTCCGCCAAGCATTAGCCCAGACCTCTCACAATGCGCACAGCAGACTGGAATACTGTTGATGCTTCCAACGTATGTTTTGTTTGCTCCGTTTAAACATGGTTCACATTGCGGTCCTTTCCAGCATGTTCCTTTTATTTCTAAAATTTAAAAGAGATGATATACATTATAACATAAATGGACACGTCAATAGAGACATTGTTTAAGAATCAAACATGTATCTATATTTAAGCTTTTTTCTGCAACGTTATTGTTATTTCTTTTGAATACCATGATGTTAAATACACTAATTGACTTTAAAAGATTGTATATGAAATGTTCCTTATTATACCTTCTGGGTAATTGCACGTACAAAACGGTCTTCCGTCACTTTTTCTGTTTCCGGCATTACAATACTTCTTGCAACCTGGACAACACACTTTGACATCTCTAGTTCCAACCTTGACAACCTTAAAATCACCTGCTGGACATCTGTTACAATACCTGCCAATCTTACAGTTTGCTAAAGAAATAAAAATATATTGTTTTATATACTTCATTCTGATTTATGTTACATGTATATAGAATAGTGTGTAAAGTTGTTTCATTAATCAAGCAATATCGTACTATATTTGTTTTGTATAATCAGCAATTAAAACTATATCTGTTCTGTATCATCAACAATATAATTCTCAATTTGTTTTTTTACCAGCAATGTCATTCTCTATTTAAATCAGCATTTGTTTTGTATCGACAAAATCATTCTCTTCTTGTTTTGTATCAGAAATCTCATTCTGCTCTTGTTTTGTAACATATATATCATTCTCTATTTGTTTTGTAACATATTTATCATTCTCTATTTGTTTTGTATCAGATATATCATTTTCTATTTGTTTTTATGAGATATCATTCTATAAATGATTTTATCAGAAATGTCATTTTCCAATTGTTTTGTATCAGAAATATCATTATCGATTTGTTTGTATCGGCCATGCCATTGTCATTTTTTATTTGTTTTGTATCACCAATATCATTCTAATTTTTGTATCAGCAATTGTGTACTTTATTCGTTTTGTATAATCAGCAATATCATTCTTTATCACATAAGCCGCGGCGCAGGAGTGTAATAAAGCCATTTAATAAAAGCGATATTACACTACAGTAGTGTAATAACACTTCGACGTGACGTCATTTGTGCCATATATAAACATAGCGTTAAAGCGCGCTAATGTAAGCGTTACACTAGTACTATAGGCGCGTCATTGAAAAATTAATCATTTTAACAGTTTATTGTTCTTATTTTATATATGTGATAAATAGAATATTATATTCGTGTAGATTCAATACTAAATTTATTGAACTCGTTGAATAAAACAATATTATGCTCGCCAGAGGCTCGCATAATATGATTTTATTCAACTCGTTCAATAAATTTAGTATTAAACTACACTCATTCAATATCCTCTATCTTTAAATTGTTCGTCATATTCTCGTACAATAAAAATCATTTTCTACCTATTCTGAAACAAGCTCTAGTACATGTACATGGGTGCTTTAAAATTAATCTCATTTTCCTCTATATGTTCTATAAATAATAAACTCTGATTATAAGATTAAAGATTACAAAAACAGACGCGATAATTAACAATATTACATGTACTGCAAAATCAGTCATAAACCGCACATAACATGTAAATCATTAGATGTACTTAAATCTTGAACATGTTTACTTTCCCTAAAAATTTTTAGTACGTTTTTCTCAAATTTGATTTTTTAAAAATAGTTTGGCTCATCTTTAAGCATGCAGTTTTAAATTTAGTAAACTTTGAACTTTGGCTATGCATGGAAATGATAATAATATAACATTTATAATTTACTTGTAAATGTTTATATTTATATCTTTAATATATATACGAGTACATACTTTGTTCTTCTTTTGTTTATTGTGACCGCCAAAAATGGCGATAGACATTGTAAATGCTGATTAAATTTTCCATTTTAGAAATTTTGAAATGTTGTCTTATCTAATGTTTGGCTCCTTAGATATACACTATATGATATATATGATTAACAAATACAGTATACAAATCACTTACATGGTGCCCCATCTACCGACAGGGAGGTGAAGGCAAGCACGAGAACCACGAGCAGACTAACACTCACGATATTCTGAAAATATAATTATGATTGGTACATAGTTATAACTTAGAATTCTTCAAATGGGAAACTTTGAAGAAAAGAGGTTTCAGTCGAACTTGTCATTTTACCTCATTTTAATTATCAAATGATGATAGTTGAATACTAAAATCAAATGGTTATTCGGTATTGCTGTCACAATGTGTTTGAAGTCACATATAACACAATATTTAAAAGTGTTTTGGTTCAACCGTCTTAGACATGTTTCATCACCGTTTTATCCGTGAAAGCACGTTCGCATTTAAGCACATTCCCGTAATTACCCCTGTAGCACGTGAACAAGCCTATACCTAGATGATAAAATATCGAAAGTACGATGGCGTTAAGTTGAAATAACGAAACCACGATGGTGAAAGGTCGAAAGTACGATGGTGAAAACACGGCTTTTCACCATCGAGGTCTCGTTATTTCGTATTTTCACCATCGTAATTTTGTGATTAGTTATGTGTGTGTTGCGGAGACACTAACGTGACACCGTATGACACCGTACTATATAAACAAAACAAATTTTAAGGTATGTTTGAAAATTGGCAAACGCGACCCAAACAAAGAATGTGAATTTCGTCATATAATTTAAATTCAATGGAATATATTACAGGTGCAAAGCATGCTTCACTGTAATCATAGTGATGTTTCAAATATACATATATAAGAACCGCAGAATATTATAGTAAGTAGGATATAATAATACAGTAAATAATTAAGTATCATTGTATTATATTGTATGAAGTCAATACAATATGAAGTCAGCGTCGAATAAGAGCCAACGTAATGTCTTTACTGTGCATTATTTAATGAATAATAAAAATCGTGTGTTGTTGTTTTTTCGCTATTTTATTTATTTTTCCTTAATTTATTTCGTGTTTTATATAGATATACTCCTGTTTCTGTATGGGCCGATTAAGGCATTCAGAAAGTTCACGTGATCATGGTATAAAATTGTTTAAAATGATAGACTATCAAAAAAAATAGGAAAAGGTCATCGGATCATAACATGTTTCTTACTTAGACAAACTAACATCATGTAATGGAATATAAATATCATAAAAATAATAAACAAGCATTTTGTAACGACATATTTGCAGTAGCTACAATATAGAAAATGAACAAAAAAGAGCATTATATTATCGAGCATCATATAATAACCATTGACTATAGTTTCGATTGATTAATGAAAATCGAACAAAATATAATGTTTAGCGCATCCCGTTACGATATACCAGTTTTCATAGCAGATAAAAGGTTTGCTCCTATTAATAAAGACAGTGATGACGTTCCATAAAATTTCATTGCTCGCGAAACCAAAAGGACCCTGCAACAATAAAAGAAAAACATACCTTTGTTGTGTCCATGTTGAGCGCAGCTTTTGTATAAACACTATAGATGGTGAAATATAAAGTCTTTACTTGATATGAATTTCTAACAAAATGATTATCTTATATAGGCTCAACATCACGGAAACAATCAGACTTGAAGACGGATGTGGCTTATTTAGGGAAATTTATTTTAAAATAGTGACGTTGAAAAAAAAGAACAATCCTCTATTGTGGTATTTAGAATCGGTTTAGTTAAATTCGTATTGTTTTGAATGAAAATTCTGAGAAAAGATAAATGGAAAAGTTTGCAAAACAAAAAATAAGATGTTGTTGTTGCAAAATATTTATTAATGCCGCTTGTCTATTAAATTACTGTTACGTGAACAGTTGCTCGTATAAAAATTTACAATTTACACATAAATCGCTGCATAATAAAAATTGCATATAAATGAACGCTTGACTGGCAATAGACAGTTATCCACTTGTTTACAACGACCGCTATTAATATAAAAAAAACAACAGCAAAACAATGATATAAACTTTTTATGAACAATTTCGACACAATTTAAAGTTATACTTCGCTCATCTTTCGGATAAAATACTTTCAATGCAGAAATTTATTGAAATTTAGGAAATTCTATCTGAATATGTATAATTTAAAAAAAAGTGAAAGAAATGCCCGCATTATGTTTCGGGAGCTGCGGTCTTTCTATAACTGGCCAACTAAATTTTAAAAAAACGGTCAACTTCACCAATGCTTCACTTCGCATTTGTCAAATAGTCAACAATGTGTTGTTATAAGAAATTCAAAGTCAACCTGGAGTAATATATTAGCTGGTGTGCCACAAGGCTCAATCTTAGGACCTCTGTTATTTCTCATTTATATAAATGATATTGTCAGTAAAGTAAAATCAAATATCAGACTTTTTGCAGACGACACTAGTCTCTATCTTATTGTTGACTTACCTGACTCTGCCTCTTCTATTCTTAACAATGACATGCAAAATATACATTATTGGGCAAAACCCCGGTTAATCGATTCCAATCCCATCTATGATATTCTCGCGTAAAAAACAAACCTCTACACCCTGACTTAAAAATGAAAAATTAAATAGAGGATATTGAATGAGTGTAAGTGCAATACTGAATTTATTGCACGAGTTGAATAAAATTATGTTATGCGAGCCTCTGGCGAGCATAATATTATTTTATTCAACGAGTGCAATAAATTCAGTAATGAACTTACACGAATTTAATATTCTATTTATCACATAACCCAAAATAAAGACCGTTTAAAGAGAAATAAGAGTCATTGGCGTCCGCGCCGAAGCGCGGCGCTCTTATGGAATGAAATCAGATTTTGTGAAAGGGCGACAGCAACTTCTCGAGCCTTTTAGTCGGTCATAATAAAAGCCGATAATTCCGATCGGTATGAGGGTGCTTGATTATTAATTAAGAATTAAATGTCGCGATATGTTGCAATGAATAGCGAACTGGAGAATTTCGCAATGCAAACATTTTCAAATGAAATAACCTTTTCCGTCAATAAATCGCGCTCTTCGGGGTTTTTTATTTATCATTTTGTAGTACACAGTGGGTTATCAGGGTATGTTATTGTTGTTGTACATGCATCCTAGAATGATCAGTTGATGACCTAAATATTCCGAAAATCTATTTAAAGATATATCTATTTATCACTCGTATCGGTAATTCCCGGTCTCTCCCGGTCTATAGTGACCGGCGAATAGTACCACACGTTTATATTGTCCGATCTCTCCCGGTTTTGAAGTAGATGTTTGATATCGTTACAATTAAAAAAAAAACAATAGCATGTTTCATTTTATCTATATGAGATAAAAACAATAAATATGTACAATAATTGAGAAAAGGGTACATTTTTATGGTATTAATAAGACATTATCAACTTTGAAACATTTTATTTAATTTGTTATCCGTGTTTAGTAAAGATGCCGAGGAATACAAATTAGATTTTATGAATTATTCAATTGATTGATAATTTAAAAAATGATAAAGAAAAATACAAATGTACATGTACATGGTTTAAGAATAAACAATATTATATATTGAAAGATAAACCATAATTTACTGACTTTTTCCAGTTAAGTTTTGACTTATAATCGTCAGTCAATATGACAATTGAATTCTTAAAAATTTATTTTACAATTTTAATAAAAAAAAAGAGTAGTACGCTCGTAAACATAAAAACTCAGTATTAAAATAGGACATAAAACACAAAAAAGAAAAGAAAACAATATTCATATTTGTATTTTTTTAATTAAAATTAATAGATAATACAATTATTGTATAATAAACAATTATGCTCAACATAATCAACATGTTAATATAACCATTGTCATATTTTTACAAAGTGTGAACAGATTCCTTAATAGGGGGTCTTCGCTAATAGCGATAACATAATAAGGGACAATTACAAAGGTGTGGTACGTGTTGATCATGCGTTACACATATGGATTATAAATAATTGTATACATGTATATCCGTTGCTATTAATAACCACGATCATAAAGAAAAATAAAAAGTAATATTCTAATCTCTACCATGCCAATCAAAGTTCATAATGAACACGCTCATTCATAAGTGATATACAATTCTGGTAAAAACCAATTTACCATTGAAAAGTGTATAAGAATATTTTGTAATCATATGTCTTCTAGTTCATCTTCACTTGCTGCTTTTCTTGCTTGGACGCCCTTTGATGCTTTGCATCAATGCTTTTCTTGTTTTTCATTGGCGCGGCTATAGTATAACGCTAACATTTAGCGCGTCTTTACACTATGTTTGTATAACGCTAATGACGTCACGTCAAAATATATGCACTGCCGTGCAATACCATTTTTACGGAGTCGCAAAATCGGCACGGGTGTGTGATAAAATGTTTTAAACAATTACAAATTTCGATGAACATAAACATATAGGCATAACTTTATGTAACAAAGCGAAGGAAAATGGCACTCTCATATCTTGTCAGTTGTATCCCGGGCTTGGAAACGTATTGGAATTTCAAGAGCATTCAAATTTACTTTAAATAGGAACTATCTTAAAAAACTTTATTTTACTTTCATGCTACCACTGTTAGATTATAGTGATGTTGGCTGGGATAATTGCAATAACTACGAAAAGCAAAAGATCGAATCTGTTCAAATAGAAGCAGCGCGTATTATCATTGGCGCGACTATAAACTCTGTAGCATTGAAAAACTTTATAATGAAACTAAATTGGGAAACCTTAGCAACTCGCAGGCACAAACACAAACTGATCACATTTTACAAAATTAACTAGAACTGCCACTATCATGGCGTGAATACCCCCGCATACCACTTTGTCAGAATCAACAGTGGCCATTTAGAGCTCAAGGACAACCTCCCTGCCAAATCTGAGGTTACTAAGCCAGTGCATTGCTAAGTTATGTATTCTACATGCTTCAAATGTGAAAATGTCAAAATCAATACATTGCGGACAGGACATTCTTTAGCAATTAAGAAGAAAAGCTTTTTTTGTCAAGGTTCATGTGACCTTGACCTTTGACCCAGTGACCTCAAAATCAATAGGGGTCACCTTATAGTCATGATCAACATCCATGCCAAATATGAAAACTGTGGGTCAAAGGAATCTTAAGTTAATGGGTGGACAAAATTTTTGAAGTCAAAGTCCCTATGACCTTGACCTTTGATCCAGTGACCTCAAAATCAAAAGGGGTCATCTACTAATCATGATCAACATCCATGCCAAATATGAAGACTGTGGGTCAAAGGAATCTAAAGATATTGGGCAAACAAACTTTTTGAAGTCAAAGTCCCTGTGAACTTGACCTTTGACCTGGTGTCCTCAAAATCAATAGGGGTCATCTACTAATCATGACTAACCTCCATGCCAAATATGAAGACTGTGGGTCAAAGGAATCTTAAGTTATAGGGCGGACAAGCTTTTTGAAGTCAAGGCCCCTGTGACCTTGACCTTTGACCTGGTGACCTCAAAGTCAATAGGGGTCATCTACTAATCATGACTTGCCTCCATGCCAAATATGAAGACTGTGGGTCAAAGGAATCTTAAGTTATTGGGCGGACAAGTTTTTTGAAGTCAAGGCCCCTGTGACCTTGACCTTTGACCTGGTGACCTCAAAATCAATAGGGGTCATCTACTAATCATGACTTACCTCCATGCCAAATATGAAGACTGTGGGTCAAAGGAATCTTAAGTTATAGGGCGGACAAGCTTTTTGAAGTCAAGGCCCCTGTGACCTTGACCTTTGACCTAGTGACCTCAAAATTAATAGGGGTCATCTACTTATCATGACTAACCTTCATGTCAAATATGACGACTGTAGGTCAAAGGAATCTTACATTATTGGGCGGACAAGCTTTTTGAAGTCAAGGCCCCTGTGACCTTGACCTTTGACCTAGTGATCTCAAAATCAATAGGGGTCATCTACTTATCATGACTAACCTCCATGCCAAATATGAAGACTAAGGGTCAAAGGAATCTTAAGTTATTGGGCGGACAAGAAAAAACCGACGGACAGCCAGACGGCCGGACGGCCGGACAGCCGGACGGACGGACGGACAAGCTGATTTCAGTATACCCCCCTTACAACTTTGTTGTGCGGGGATATAAAAACCACATTACACCAAATTACCCAAACTTAATCTCTGAACAAACACAAAATAGATACCAATTACGTAACTTCAATAACATACCAATTGTAAACTCAAGAACTCAACTATATCAAGATTCATATCTTCCCTCTGTCATCCGAGACTGGAACAATCTATCCGATGAAATTAAATCAAGTGCAACCTTAGAAATCCTAAAATCAAAATTGAATGGCCAACTTAAAATTCCCCCTTATACTATCTCACTGGTGATAGAAAAGCACAAGTACTTGTAACTCATCTACCTCTAGGCTGTAGTTCTTTATATTATTAAAATTCTTTTTCGCAAATCTATTGTCAAAGACTTACACTGTTCCTGTTGTAATATTGAAACTATACTAGTAAATCATAATCTTCCTTCTTGTCCAAACTTTCAAGTTCAAAGAAATATTTTCTTTACAAACCTTCAGTGTCCT